GGGCCAATTGAAGCTTTGTCTTGTTGCAAACATTTAATTGTTCACTTTCTAGCTGCCCTACACCTATTAGAAGCAGACAAGTTTATCTAGAAAGGGGGAAAAAGTTAAGCTACTTCCCCGAGTAGATGTCATTAGTAAAAAGGCATCTTGGTATGTGTGCATGAGGGGAAGGTTGGGGAAAATACACCACCAAAACATGCTTGAAAGAAACGTCTGTTGTTATAGCAGCTCTCTATAATACACCAGATACTAATCAATATCCTATATCTTAACTATCTAAAGCCTATTCATGCTTAATCAGCATTAAGGCTATTCTCTTTTAGTGGGATTTATTCCTAATAGATATGCATGATTGCAGGCAGACAGCTAGATCCTTTGTTTATTAGGCTGGAAGTTAAATTTCTACATTTAACAATTTATACCTAAACAATAGAATATAGGAGCAAAAAATCATGCTAATAATCTGAGCTATGCTTTTCTTCTTTAAGTGGAAGTACTACCCATTTTAACCAGACTTTAAGACTCATTAGTTTGGAACACCGTAAGTATGGCTTGTGCTGAATTTTGACAGTACTTGTTTTCCTTACAAATAGCTCAACTTGGTTTCTCTTAAACCAGTGGTTCTCAACCTGTGGGTCGGGACCCCATTTGGGGTCGATCGACCATTTCACGGGGGTCGCCAAGCAAGGCTGTCCGCCATTTTTTTTGTCCGCCATTTTTTTTGTCTGCCATTTTTTCCCCTTTTCCGGCAGGTGCCTTACCTCCCTTGGGCTGGGCCAGCTGGTGGTCGGCCTGCTCCGTCTCTGCCGCTTGCCAGCTACGCCTCGGCCGGTGCAGGGGCGGAACCATGCATGCGCGGTACTCCCGGGCAGGGAAAGTCCTCTACTTACGACCGGTTGGGTAGTCCTCGACTTACGACTGGTTTAGTCCTCGACTTACAACCGGTTTAGTCCTCGACTTACGACCAGTTGGGGTCGCAGCATTAAAAAGGTTGAGAACCACTGTCTTAAACCTAATCAATGGTAACCTCTGTATTTTCAATGACCCCTTCCTTTGATAATGCTGGTAAGGAATTATGGAAACTGATGTCTAACACTTATGGATATGTGAGATCTCATGATACATAGCACTTATACTTCTTCAAGACATTCAAACCATAAATCATGGTTTATAGCTCAGTTATTGGAAGAAAAACAAACTAAAGCAGACTTGCACAAACTGAGGTGCTAGAATACATGCTCCCCACTCAAACATTCCATCAAAGGTGCCACCACTTTTGTTTGATATAACCCAGGGGTGTCAAACTGCCGGCCCTTGGGCTGGTTGCATTATACAGAGGCCGTGCCCACCCCAGCTCCGGCAATGCGGAAAAAGTCGCAACATGTCACATGACACGGCGGGTTTGACAACCGTGATCTAACCGAAGGGAAAATTATTTAATAGATGGAAATAATCATGCTACCTATATTGAATTCATTTGTTCGTATATTAAAATATAAATAAAATGAAACATAGTTTTCTATCTGCCCCACCTCTTTTTCTGCTTTTAAGTATAGTCACTGGCCTGCCGCTTAAAGACACAGTGCAGTGCTAAACCAAATATATCACAGTAACTGACTATAAAATACATTAAGCCACAATCTGGGCAGTTTAGTATATTATGCAAACTAGCCAACATACATCCTCCATGGCTCCTTGTGCTAATGGAACTCAAAAAAGAAAAAAAAATCAAAAATAGACACCCATTGGTGTTTATGTGTCCAGTAAGACCTGGAAGAGTGGGCTAATTCCCAATACCTCAGGACTGAGGGCATTAGGTTTGACAAAAGCAGTTTTCTGTCGCCATTTTCCTTCTCTGGAAGAGTTTATCCACCCACTCCAAAAGTCCCAAACTTTGCTAGGATCCTTAAATGACTCATAGTTTGATATCCTTTTGCAAACATCATTGGCTATGTTGGTTGGTGATAGTCTTCCAGAAAAGAAGACTGTATGTATGTAAACTATGTATGTATGTATGTATACTGCTCAAAAAAATAAAGGGAACATTTTACCATGGAACTGAAGGGGTTTGTGTTCCCTTTATTTTTGTGAGCAGTATATATGTATGTGCTCCAATAGAAGATAACTTTTGAGCTGCATCACCTGCAAGTCCAGAATACAAATTACAAAGGGCAGTAATCAAATATATCAAAAATAGCAAAATATATAGCACTGAGATATTTGATACCAATCATTCATTTGGATTGGTCCCTCCTGGTGACAAACGTCCAGAGTGATCGTTATCAAATATCTCAGTGCTTATGAGTCATTTCGGTATATTGTGTGAATGCAGCCAGAAAAACCTTAAGAAATTACAAGCTTTTCACAGTAGCTGAAATCAACAGTTGCCGCTGCTGCTACCGCCGCTGCCAGTCACATTTTGCCCAACAGCAAAGCCGGCGCAGTGTGTAAATGCCCAGAGACGGGTACAACTCAGCTGACCTGTTGGCTACCTCTGATCACCGGGGCACGGCCGCCTTCCCATCTTAGTTTCCCAAGAAAACAAGAGAAAGAGATAAAAGCACAAGGCCCGCGGCAGGAGGGGGCGGGGATGTAACCATATATGGGTGGACTCGTATCTTTTTAAGAAGCTAATCCCGCCTCCTAGCCCCCCACCCCACCCCCGTTTTAATGTAGTTTAACTTTAGGAGAGCGAAGTGGGGAGTGGGGGGGGGAGAGAGCTAGGTGGCGCTTGCTAGTATATTCCTCTAATTTTAGTTGCGTGCGTGAAAAAGCAGCCTCGAGGTCATTTTCCGGCCTTCCGCCTGGGATCTTTTGTCTTCCTCTCCGCCGGGGTCCAGACTCCACGACGAGCAATGGTTGATCCACGCCGAACTCTGCCCCTCTGGCGAGGCGGAAAGCGCTAGCCCGAGAGCGAGAGAGCAAATAGCTTGCTTTCGTTTCAAGCCGAGGCCGTGGCGAGCGGGGCACAATAGAGCCTTCACGAGCGTGCCATTGGCTCTCTGTCGCAGGAGAGCTCGGCGGGGCTTCACGCCTCCCGAGCCGTGAAAAAGTCGCCGCCTCCCTCTCTTCCCTCCAGCCGTTACTGGCCCAGCTGTGGAGCGAGAAGGGGTTAAATCCGCCCGGTTCGGACCAAGAGCTCTGTTTTTAGGGAAAGAGAGAGTGGGAGAAGGGGGGGGGGTGTTGGAAATAAAAACGCCGCAAGAGAAGTAAAAGGCACGCTCTGGGTTCCGGCCTCCGAGCCTTTCCTGAGCCGGGAAGCCCTCCTCGGCTCATTCTTCTTTCCCACTCCCGGCTCCTTGTTCCTCGCTTCCTTTTGCTTGAAGCTCCTTTCAGGATTGGAGGGAAAAGAAAATAAAACGGGAAGGAGGCAAGGGCAGAAAATGGTGCACGGCTGCAAAAGAGGAGGAGGAGGAGGAGGGCATTTTCAGCGTTCTGGGACTGAAAAATTGAGGGGGCCCAAGGAAACTCCAACCGGCCGGGACTAAGACGACCCCCGTTCTCTCTCTCCCCCCCCCGGGTCTGCCTCCATCCCGCGCCGCCTTCTTTTTCTCCTCCCCGCCCCCGCTCTTCTCTCTCCCGGGAAGAAGGGGACTAACCTTAAAAAAGCGCTGCCGCTGAGCAGAGAAAGGAGTATCCTGGGAAGGATGTTGCTACGGAGTTAAAACGACGAGAAAATTGCCCTTCCCCCGTTTTCTGGTCCCCCCCCCTTTTTTTTCCGCCACCAGTTTCTTTTAGCTTTGGCTCCGGTGCCAAAGAGACAATTCTCTTTTGTTTGTGAAGTCCCCCTCCTTTTTTTTGTTTCGCCCAGCTGGAGAAAGAGGAAAAGGCTGGGGAGTCACCATGGCGTCTCTCTTCACCAATGGACCCTGCATCCAAAGTGAGGCCGAAGTGGGTCACCTCTGTCGGAGCCTGGAAGTGGGCACGGTCATGACTCTCTTTTACTCCAAGAAGTCCCAGAGACCCGAGAGAAAAACGTTTCAGGTGAAGCTGGAAACCAGGCAGATCATTTGGAGCAGGGGGTCGGACAAAATCGAAGGCGCAAGTAAGTGGCTTGGTTTAATCCTGGTAGTACCCGAAAAACGAGCGAGTAAAATTTGAGGTAATCCCTCCGTGTGGACTCCCGTGATTTTGGCCCGAGCAGTCTCCAACGAAGCATGTTTTATGGTTGTCCTGGCTCATTTGAATGAACTTGGAGCTACGTTGAAGGTCTTCACGAGTTAATAAACGCCTTCCCTTCAAATAGAGTAAACAGAAATGATGCTGAAGATAGTCCCACATCTTAGGCTGCTTATATCTGTGGCATTTGTGGCGCAACACTGGCCTAAAAAAAGAAAACTGGGAATTGTAGTCTAATTACCTGGTGTGGGCAACCTGCCAGTGGCTTCGTTCTTCACACAAAACATAATTTGTAGAATTTGGAGGTGTAAGTTGCCTGTGGTATTCATAGAATAAGCTGGCCCTAAAAGGGGATCAGCCCCATTGGTGGAGGTGAGGATATTGCTGGCTGCTATGTCCTGATAGAATTTCTACTTTTTCCATTTGATACTAAAATGGACTGTATAGCCTGCCTAGGAGTTTCTGAGAAGTGCATGGTTGCCTATTGTAGAAGAGTAAACTATGTGGACTATCAACCAGTTCTTTCAGTGCAGAACGTATTTTGTACTTATCTATCATTAATAAACATTGTTTTGTGCTGTTTTGACTGATTCTGGTAAAATTATTTTCCCCACAGTTCATTTTAGAGAACAGTTTGGTATTTTTTTAAAAAAAAATGGTGTTATTTTATGTGGAACCTTTTAGTTTCAAACTTTCACTATACTCGGAATTCAAAATATTTTATATATTATCTTATGCTCCATGCAGTCGACGATGGTTTAAATATCAGTTTAAATCATTTGAGAATTCTATAAATTCTGGTTCTCCCTCTTTCTTTTCAAAACATCAAACCTATAATAGAAAAAGAGAATTCTGATGTTTCTGCATATACAGAGAATTGGATATATATGTAAATGCTCAAAATGGAGAATGCATGTCCAGATATTTTAAAAATGGAAACAGTTTCTTTACATTTGTCCTAAAGGCCACAACTCATGATTTCTACAGGTAGGAAATACGTTATCTGAGCACCTATGGTGTGCAAAAGTTGCTTTCAGGTTACTAGATAAACATTATTTGTTTGAATAAGCAGTATGGAAGTATCAGAGCTTATGCACAAATTTAATAATTAAGTTTGTATGTTAATTATCCCTTAGTAAATTTGCTTGACTTTTATGGACTTATTTTGAAAGATGGATTTCTCCATCAGTTGTATTATCTGTATGTGTCCTGATTTATAGTGCTGCACTAGCCATTTTTTATTACTATGAAAAAAAGGATGCAGTGTTCTATATCATTCAAATCTGAAATTGTTTTATAACTGCACTTTTTGACAAACACTGCTGCATCTGCCTTGGAAAGTAAAGACAAGCAGAGTTGGAATTCTTTAATATAATTCTTCCTCCCTTTGTCCCTGCAGTGAGGTCATCCATACAAAAAGCTCAGAAAGCTGGGTTATTGGATTCCCATGCCAAATAAAAACTGAGGATTGAGCAGCCTTTTCTCCCTTTTTGCTTTCCTACAGTTAAAAACTCATTTACAAAGCAAATAGACTTGCAATACCTTGTGGTAGACTGTCTTTAGTCCTTCGGAGGAAAGAGGTGATATAAATCTAATGAAGGAATGATTAAATACTTTCAATTCTAATAGCTACATTGTAGTATAGTCTTTGTGGATTAAATTCTGCTTACAAAATGTATGAAGTATTTGGATTGGGAAGAAATATAAATATTGGAATTAAAAGGCCATGAAATTTAAAACCGCAGTAGATCTAGATTACTTCTAGAAGTCCCAAATGCCCATTTATACATTCCCTGGTTTCTGGATCGGCTACTTCTTCGTGCATGTGCACACACCTAAGAATGTAATAAAATACATACATTCAGACATAATATCTGTCTGTCCACAGCATTTATTGTCAGCTCTGTTTCTTTCTATATTGGACTGATAATGATATCCTTTGAAATCTGAGCTAAGAAATGAGGATCTAAGTAGTCTATTAGCAAACTATCAGCCTTGCAAGCAGATGTTTTTACAGCTGGATGATGGATTGATTAATTGTACTGTAATCCTTTTTCTATATTACGTGAGATATGTTTTTAACATTTATAAATATGTATTAAGTTTGGAGAGACCAGGGAAACTTGGGTTCTCTGAAAAAGATGTTCAATTTGAGATGAATAACTTTAGAACTACCAGGATTCCATTGAGAATGAGGACAGTGATTGTCTCTCTCTGCAGTCTAGTCTTCCTCCTTCTTTTAGCAGTAAACTTATAGATAAAACTGTGTGAGATTTTGTGATTAGTGAGAAAATGCTGTTTAGAAACATACATAATTGAATTTGTCACTGATAGATGTTTTTCTAGAGATACCTTGAGCAAGCAGCAAATTGAATTCAACCCCTTTGAAGTCCATAAAAATATGTTTCCTAATTTATGTGTAGTTGAAAAGAGTTATAATGAATTAGTTGAGATATACTTTAAGTAGCTCATAATTTCCAAAATACAAGATGCTCTAGGGCCGTATTATTTGTTCTTACTGACTCATACATCACGTTAATATTTTTAATACTATTCGCTTTTTTGTGAGTATAATGCATAAGCCTTGCAAAAAGAAAACCCAGTTTATAAATTGCACTGAATATTTTGCATATCATATTAACCAAATAGCATATTATAGCTTAGTATGGTGTGACTCAGAAACCTTGTACTGCAGTCTTATACGCAAATGGTCTCTCTAGCTACATTTAACTATATGACCCCAGCGCATTCATTTTTAAGTTGTTTGATGGTTTCTTTTTGAAAGGAATTCCTTCTTGTCCAAGATGAGGAATATATACAATGATGTTTTTTCAAATGTGGCAATGTTTAAGATGCTGGCTGAGTAATATTGGGAGTTCATACATCTTATAGTTGCCAGGTTTGAAAAACGCTGATCTAGAAAATGGCTTGTAGGGTGGGAATTTGTTTTGGAATAAGGATGGAAGAACCTAGGAAACTAGTTTTGAAGCTAAACTAGTTCCTTTGTGAATATATAAATTGATTCCATTAGACAGTGATGGAAGTCATAGGAAAATATATTCTTCCTTTGCTGCTGCCACAGTGTAGTATTGTGATCTGTGATGCTGCTGATTAACAGTGTGCTTGATGGTATCTGTGAAAGAGGAAATAGTTTTACTAACTTTGGATGAAGTGTTCAAGGTAGGTAGATAATCCTGAGATACAGTGAGACTTAGCACTGCTTCTTGAGTTTTATTCAGTGTAAGGGTATTGCTTTCTAGACCTAAATGTGTTAGAGCTTTACATTATACTTTATAAAACAAGGTCTTATCCTCAATGTCTTGCTTCCTGTACTTTAAATCAAAACGTTGCTTTTCAAACAGGTGCCTTCTCTTTCCATAATTTAGATCCTGAGTTGAATAAACTTGTAATAGATGGAGATATGTACTATTACTTGCTTTATGGCTGTTTCATTTTTCTATAACATATACATCCTCCAATAAAATTTGTCAATCTTGAAATTAAAAGAGAAGAGTGCGTGCAATCTACACCCAATTAAACTAATATAATCTTGATGGCATGAATAAAATAGTTCTCCTTGAGTCCTAGAAATAAGTATAATTTTGTTTCAGAAAAAAAATAAATAGAATCCAAACTATGGAAACCAAACTTTTGGATGTGATGTGATATAGAGAACTGCATAAGATCTCATGAATTTGGTATGACCATGTTGTTCCAGGACTTAAATTCAGGTGTATTCAGATCCACCATTAATTATGCTTTAGAGTCTGTCTAAAAGGTCTAGCCTTATCAGCATCACTGATTTTATGTGTAAATGTCTGAAGCAGAATGCAGTGCAGAAAAAGCATCTAGATGGTTCTAGATCCCAAATGCCAAGAATCAAAATTTTCCACCTTTTTTTCCAATAGGCTATTGAGGATTATAGCTTGAGTTCTAGGTGACTGCTTAGTTAAATCAGCTGCAACTAAATGATTATTTTTGTCCTGTGGATCTCAGAAGGAGCCTTTTTTGTGAGAAGAGATCCTAATTTTCTGTTTTTAATCATTTTTTGTTTTAATCTGACTGAATGAAAACATAACATGGCCTCTTTCCAAGATAGTTTAGGTAGGCATAGATTTTGATATTTTTTTTGTAGAAAGTAGCCTTTGGGTAAAGGCTGTGAAGTTTTTTTTCCTTACCCTTAATGGCTACATTGCTTTTGGCTAGAGTAATGGGTACACACTTTCTTTTTGTGGTGCATATAACCACATAAACATACCATCTCTCTTTTTACATCTATTCACTTACTTTCTACCCCACACCAACACAGACACAGAAATACACATGCACAATCTCTCTGCCACAAAATAATTTCCTATGTAAGATTTGGTTTTTTCCATGATGGTATATAAGATTTTTAATTATTCCCTCTGAAACATTTTAAGGGTTTGGTTTAGTTGCATCATAAAAGACAGGGTTTTTTTGTTTGTAAAATGTTATGTTTCTCTGGAAAGTCTGGTATCCTTACGTATCTGTTTTCGTCATTTATTTTTGAAGGATAAATGTACATTCATGTCATTGCAGATCCATGAAAGCAATAGAATATTTACTCCAGTACTCTATTTCTGTTTAATTGAAACTTTCTAGGATTTAAATGTGCTCAAATGTCAATCAGACTGATTTTCTAGAGCAGGGGTGTCAAACTGCCGGCCTACAAGCCGGTTGCATCATACGGAGGCCGCACCCATCCCAGTTCTGGCAATGCAAATAAAGTCGCAATACGTCGCGACACGTCACATGATGCGGCGAGTTTGACACCCGTGTTCTAGAACATCCAAATATAAGTTCAACGTAAGTACATACATGCTGCAATGTGCCACAATAAGAAAACAATAAAAGTGCAGTTGTTTTGTGATCACATCCAGATGACTTTAGGAAAGTCGAGCC